GCCCCGCCGCGCCCCGCCCCGCCGCGCCCCACCAGCCGGCCGGCTCGGCCCCAGAGGCCCCCAGACGCCCTGGACCTGAAGCCGGACCAGGGACTTCCACCGCCGCCGTGCTCCGCGCCGTGCTCTGCCCTGCCCCGCTCTGGCCCCGCGACTGCAGAGTTGTTGTTGCTCTCCTTCCGACAAACATCACTACTCGCTAGCATAACGAATGAAAAACAGACGCGACGGCAGTATATGCGGGATATTTATGTGCCCTGTTCCTCCGACGGGTGCGTACGCTGTCGAGTGACTTGAACAACACGGGTCGAGAGAGAGGGAGAGAGATGGGAAAAGACTGCAGCTTGTGACTAGCGGCAAACTAGTGCTCTGCGGTGGAAAAACAAAAGTACATAGTACTTAATGCCTTTCTAGGGGTGTTAAATTTGAATGCCTTGATAAATAAGGCGGTAAAATCAGGGGTTCCGGCTAAGCGGCCCCTGGCCCCGCCTGCCTCAACCACTTTGTTATCATTTGCGCTCTCTCACTCTTCTGAGTCACCTGCAAGTCTGTCTCTATCGCACTTACTAGAGCTGTCGTTACCGTGACCCCTGCATTAAAATTCAGCACCATTCGGCAGTTGTAAAGTTTGTAAAGTCCTCTGAGTCCTACCTTTGTTTTTCCAGTGTAGCACTCGAATTTATTTTAAAACAACGTACGATACCAATTTTAAAAGAGAAAAATTAAACATGGGAAAAGAAAAGTTGTCATTTTGACGTTAATGTTATCAGTAACCCCCCTATTCGAGGGCTTTACTGTGCGCAGCCCTACTATTCAAATTCCTAATTACCATTAATCGAATTCCACATTGATTAAGGATGCATGACGCACCTGCGGCATGACTTCTGCACTTTTGTCGACTCTGAGCAAATTGAGAAACGGCAACCACCAACATTAATTTGGGGACTAACCAGGGAAAAGCTAAAGACCTATATTATCTCCAAACGACTTTTAACGCAACTGAGCCTAAACTCCAAGTAGTGCCATTTAAACAAACTGCGTCGCCGATGTTGCCCTCAAGCCCTCCGACCAAGTATTTTTGTAAATTTGCGGTCTTTGGGTTCACAGCAGCGCCAACACTGCAACCACCAAAACAAAACATTGCAGCGCCTTAATGAATGCGTTCTTGAAGAAAATGAGCCTGTTTTACATATATCAAATTACATGTATGTATATTTTTATAAGATGAGCACCTTAGAATGCTATTGAGACATTTCTAATATTATTTTTTTAGAAGAACAATGTTGGCTACCTTTCCTCATTGAAACCACCAACAAATGAACGTGGCCATAGCAGAAGACAAGAGGAACGGGTTTGCGCAAAGAAGAAACAGATCGTGTCATCACAACAAACAGAAAAATGATTGTTTACGCAGCAGTTTGTGGCTATGTTATTGCGTCCTTGATACTCTTTAGATATCCTACCCTCCTTCATAGGAAAAAGAAATTAAAATTCAGGTGCCATCACATCAGTCATCGAGGAGGTACGAATATTGGATGCATCGTCTATTTCACATAAATTCAACTGATCATAACGCTTGCATGTATTAATGTTCTTAGAACATGTTTGGTGTGGGTCAATGTGATAATAAGTTTTAAATTGGTTCCTTGTTGTAAACTTTTCACGGATACGTCCTCTAATAACTTAACCTAGATTATCTCACTGCATCATGAATTATAATTTTCTGACTTGTCCTCCTGTTTTTATTTAGCAAAGTGCAATCTAACAGTACTTTTTTCCTTCACCAAATTCCCTACTTTCCTTTCTTAAACTAATTTAGTTTTTAATTCCTGCCAAAAGCGGTTTTTGAAGATGGGTCTTGTAATCAATCTATAATTGGATCATGACTGTTGGTTTTTGTGCAGGGGCTGCTGAAATGTATGAGAACACAATGGCTGCATTTAAAAGGTAAAACCTACTTTTTGTTTCAACTTCTTATCAAAGTGTTATAGAAGGGTTGTTTTAAATTTTGAATTATATCTAATCTATTTTCTTTGCCTTTGTCAAAATTGTTTGATTTCTTTTGCACACCTGCTGGATTTGAGTAATTGTTCTTTTTCTTTACAGAGCTGTTGATCTCGGCACAGATATGCTGGAGTTAGATTGCCACCTTACAGCTGATCGCCAGGTGGTTGTATCACACGACAAGAATTTAATGAGAGTATGTGGCTTGGACATTGATATATCCCAAACACCATACTCACAACTACCTCCACTCAGTAATTCAGTTTCAGTTGACTTCGATCTGGGTATGTTTAACTGTTGTCTCCTGGTCTTTACATTTTCATTTTTACTATTGTTAAACATGTGAATTTAAACATTCATTCCAGAAAACCCGTATGTCGGATCAGGGAATATTGAGGAGAGGAGAATTCCTCTATTAAAAGAGGTGTTTGAGTCTTTCCCTAACATTCCTATTAATATTGACATAAAATGTAATGATGACATACTTATTCAGGAGGTAAACAAACTAGTCCAAGAACATAATCGTGAAGAACTGACTGTGTGGGGGAACATTAGCAATGTTGTTACCCTTAAATGTTACCAAGAGGTATGATAATCTAGTTAACTTTCTATGAACTCAATCCACATTCATTTACGTGCTTCTTTGGTTAAGGGGGAGAGTACTACTTTGCTGGGGGGTTTTATTACCAGAGTTGCACTTTTGGGCTGGTCAAATGAATTCATTTTTATTATGCTTTTCTTGTGGTGGTGTTTGGCTGACTAACATTGGTATCTATTTTTACTTCTGCATGCAGAACCCACAGATAAATTTACTCTTTTCCATGCGCCGAGTGGTGGAACTGGTTCTACTTTTCTACACAGGTCTACTTCCATTTGTTCCAATTAAAGAATCTAATTTAGAAATATTCCTGCCTGCAATTTATTTAAGGTAAAGCTTAGGGCGGGGTCTCTCTAACATAAGCTTGGAATGCTGCTTTAAAGTAATTTAAAATGCTTGGTTCTTTCATAATTTTCTATACTTTTATAATTTTGATTCATGTCTTTCAGGAGGAAAGAGGATGCTGGTAGTTTTTTCCCGATTCATTCATTGATGTTGCGAGGAATGCATTGCCTTTTGATGAGACGTTGCCTTTTCAACCATCTTCAACGAAGAGGCATACAGGTTAGTTATGGTCTGACAGATTGCTTGTAATAAATAATCTGAAGTGATGGTTTTAAGAACTACCGGTGGCTTGTTTTTTTCCAGGTGTATCTTTGGGTTTTGAATGATGAAGAAGATTTTGAAAGTGCTATGCAGCTTGGAGTTACTGGAATAATGACAGATTTTCCTACAAAGCTCAAAAAGTTTTTGTCTGAGCATCCACAGTTCATTACCTCTAAGGATTGTTTCAATACATCTTCCTAACAATGTAATTTGATTATGAAAGCTCCCTCATTTCACTGTATGAGTAATCAACCAAAAAGACCTGTTCTCTAATGTTTGGCAATGCATGTATTGCTAGATTTCTGTGTTGTTATCACTGTATATTGTTCCCAATTCAGTGATTTGTTATTCTGTAGATTGTAGTCCATTTTCTTGGCTGTTTATTTTCCAAAGTTAACATCAAATATCCACCAAATATATTTTGTGTCCAATTTACTTCATGCTCTCTTTTTATCTAACTCTGTGTTATGTATACCTGTGAGAACTAATTCTGTCAGTAGTTAAATATTTACTAATACTCTCCCTCCCTGAATGTTGCATGCTGCACATCATTTTATTTATTGACTTTTCTCTCGTTTGTTTTGAAAGCCTGATTTAGACTTTGTGAATGAATCTCTTTTTGGTACCTAGTAATAAGCAATTAATCAGTAATAATCAAAATGGTAAAAGTTTTTTGTTTGTGTCTGAGCAGTAATGTGTTGTATTTTGACATTTTCTCTGCATGACAGTGCTATACTATTTGGAAAATTTGTAAGGATACTATTAGAAGGCCTGATTGGGCTCTTTCTTCTTCACCAATTGACTTAAGTTTACTAGATGATGGGTCACATGACCAAAGTGTGGTTATGACAAAAGAGTGACAAATCTTTGCATTATTCTTACGCCATGTACTGTTATTGTTCTGATTATTTCCTATTTTATTTCATTATACCATGTACAAGAGTAATAACTTTAATGATAGAGGTTTAAATTGTTTTCTGATTTAGAAGAGACAATATTTGCTAGGTTCAAAATTTTGTTCCACTTGAACATAATTTTTCAGCTCTGAATTGTCTCTTTTGAAAAACATCTTTTGTCAATAGAAGAATCATGTCATGAAGTATCAGTTGTTTAGCAAGGTCTAGGATATATATACCTGATTGGTTTATGGGTGACAAATGTGACTAGTTTAAAAGATTTTATACATTTTGGTGTAGGTAATTCTTTTCCTGCAATTACTTCTTTACTATCTGACCATAGAATTTTACCATTTTCTTTCAACAGTTTGACTGAAGATTTTACTGTTTACTTACCAAACTAAATTTATCGTACTGGATATTGCTAGATTACCGGTAATATTCTTAATTTTGTATTTGCCTTTTTGTATTGGGTTTCCAAAGTGTCTCAAATGTGAATCTCTGTCTTTTTTAACCTAGTCGTGTATTTATTTCTGTTTATTTTAATCTCTACCACTTTTTCATCCCATTCAGAAACCCAACAAAAGTGCCATTGAAATTCCATGTGCTTAGCCTTTTTGCTGTTGTCTTGTGTATCTATTGATTTGGGTTGTCATTCTACTTATGATGACCTAAGGCGTGCAATACTTAACTCTCAGGAATGAAAAGAAAAGTCTGTTACTGAGTCCATTTAATGTGGAACCTATGTAGGACCTTTTTTGCTGTAAGATACCATACATAATTTGCATGCATGTCATTTCTCACCTTATTTATTATGTGTTTACTGTAATCTCTATCAGTCATAAACTTTCTAGTGCATTTTTTGTAACTATTTTTATGCTTGGGAATCAAAATTCTCATGCTGTTTGAGTTGAGTAGTGCTCGGTGTAGTGCCATAACTTGATTGATTAATGCTTGTTAGAATTTACGAACAAAATACTCTTGAATCTAAATGCCCAACTGCCAGATACGGTTGTGAGTTGAGAGTAGGTTTCAGTGGTACAGAGCAGTATAGTCAATATTTCTTTGTCTTTATAGCAAACTAAATTTTAATCATATAAATTTTTTGTTTTAAAAAATACTGATGAAATTTCTTGAATTTCAATAATCTTTTGAGTTTTTTGAACTTATGTTGATTGCCAAAATCTTTATTTTAGCCACATGCTTTCATTTATATGGTGCAGTTGTCAAATATTAATGCGTAAAGACATACTCAGATCATTCTTGGCAACCAGATAGCCGTGTAATCATTATTGTTTTCAATTAGCGAGCCACACGTATTAACATTGTTCAGAAGTTTGTTTTGAAATCAAATAACTGACAATGATGTATTGTCAAGCTCAGCAATACCGAATTAGCATCAGAATAACTTTTCAAGTTAATTATCAAATAAAAATTTCTGCTCTATTCCCTGTTTGACAGTATGAGAGTATTCCCTATACCTATATATTTATTGACTTATTTGGACTTTTATGATACAATTTGTATGAAACCTGTATTCCTTGATTGTAAGCTGTATTGGTGGAAATAAATGTTGTTATTGTTGTTGATATTTTTTGTTTTGTTCCTGCTCAAATACTCTTCAACAACCTGCCATGGAGTCAACTAAAAATTACTAGTGTGGATTAATGGCAAGCCTACCACCCAACTGGCAGTGAACAGTAAATCGTTGATTGATATTTTTTTTTGCTTTAGGAGTTGTGCAGGGGTGTGTAGGGACTTGTGCGGGGGCTGGGAGGTGCCACAGGCCACAGGCTGACGAAGTGTGTCGAGTGCACTCTGATGCACTCTCACTCTGCCGAGTCCGGCCGCCGCCTGGCCTGGCTTGTCTGGGCCGGGTCGGGGCTTTAGCTCGAGGCGGCCCTCCCCACCCCCCTCCCGCAGCGCTTCTCCCCGCACCGCGGCCCGCCCCCCACACCGCGCCCGCGCCCCGCCCCGCGGACGCCGGCCTCAAATCGATATGCTGGAAGGGGGAGGGGGAAGTGGTCGGCGACGCCGGGGAAGGAGGCGAGAGCGAGAGAGAGGGAGGGTCCGCGACGCGGGCGCGGTGTCGCGGCGCGCGTGAGCGCGAGAGAGACGGACGGCGGCGCTCACTCCATGCGGAGCGCGGCTGGAAGCGGGGAGGGGGGAGGGGGAAGGCCTGGCGGTGGCGGGGCGTGGTAGAGGTTTGGGCTGCAGCAGTGTACCACATCCTCGTACCGCGGAGGGACGCCACGCCGCCGGGACGCACCGCGACGCACGGCGACGCATCGCGACGCAACCGCGACGCACCCGCGACGCACCGCCAGCTCTCTGGCATGCCCGTGACGTGAGGGAGCGGCTGCTGGAGGCTCCAGCCGGCTGCTACGGAGGCTTCTCCAGCGCCCCGGCGACCAGCTGACCCGCGGGCTGACCTGTGACTCGGCCCGGGCGACACGCACCCGGCCGGCGCGAGAATGTCAGGTGGGTTATCACAACGGCCCCAAAGGACAGTGGGGGCCCGCAGCGCCCCCCGCGCGGGGCTCGGTGGCGCCGCCTAGCCCCCGTCCCGCCTTGCCTGCGCCCCGGGCCCGGGCCCGGGCTCCGAGGCTGTTAACCTTAAGCGACATTTTAGCGTGCGCCAAAGTGTTCCCCGGCTCCGGCCGCGCCCCGCCCCGCCCAGCCGGCCCCCCCGCCGCCCCGACCAACCTCTAGATGGTCTTTGAGCCCGTCGCCGCCCCGGTCTCCTACTCCCGATGGGAAAGGTCACACGGCCGCGGCGCAAGGTGCAGAAGTGCACCCAGTTCCCTCCCTTCTCGCTCCAAACGGCAGCGCCGTCGTCTGGTCGTGCCATTTTAAAAGGTTTTCTCTCTCTCTCTCTCTCGCTCTCCCCGGCCCCCAGGCGAGAGCCTACATTTTAATGAAGGGCCTGGACTCGGCGCCGTGAGTCGAAACTAGTCGCCGCTTTTCCCCCGTTCCAACTTGTATGAAGGAAAAACTCGAGTTGTGGGTGTTGTTTCTGGGAGATGGTCGCGCGCACGCGTTTGTGTGTGGTCAGGTCCAGGGCGACAAGATGCGATCATCCAGAACCGAAGAGCGAAAACTCTAAAGTGCTTGTGGTGAGACCTGGTGCGCATTCTATGGGGGGTCTAACTCGTCGGGACAAGGCTCAACATGGGGGGCCACGATGCGAGCTCTATGACTCTTCAAGCTCGCAGGAAAAGAACATGGCTCCCTCTCTCCCGGCGGACCTAGGCCCCCGTACCCCTAGTGCCCCCTGGTGTCGGGGGCGGCGCGCGGGACACGGCCCCCCTGATATCAAAGCCTGGGCTGAGCCGGCCCCGCGCCTCGCCGGAGGGGGCGGCGGCCGCTCGCTAGCCGTGCGGGGGTGGCGCTGGGCCCCTCCGGCCGGGGCCAGGTGGGGTGGAGGGGCGGCCAGCGCGCCAGAAGCTCGCGAGGTTCGAATCACTCTGGAGCAGCGCAGCAGCGTTCCTCTGGCGCGAGTGGAGAGAGGTTAGGGAGCACGGCGCTGGCGCCTGATTCCACAGCGCGTTCGTGGGGTGCGCGAGGGAGGGTGGCGCGCGGGGCGGGGCGGCACGAGCCGAGGGGTGGCCCGGAGGGGAGTGAGGGAGGGCCGGGCGGCCGCGCACCACCCCTCCCACCGATATGCGTGCCTAGCCTAGTGCACTCGGCCGCCAGCCCAGCGTTAGATCATCTGCGCTATACAGCACGCCACTGGGTTACGACTGCGAGGCACTGGCGCGTGGTCGGCGCGGCCCGCGGGACACGCGGAAGAGCCTGTGCGGCGCACCCGCGCCCACACCGGACGCCCGCCGGTGCCGACTGACCTCCCGTGGAGCGCACATCGCGCTCCTTATGTACTTTTCGCTTGATCTCTTTCTTTTTTATTTCCGCTGCCCCGATGGTGGTGGCTTCGGGCCCGGCCCGACGACAACGCTGGCGATTCATTCGTTATTATCCGTCATCGCCTCGTGACGGCTGGGAAGCCTGTCGTCGATACAAGCGTGTGTGTGACGCATTCGTCGACGAAAGTGAACGCCGCACACCCGCTTGACAACCGCGCATGTTAACTTGCAGGGGAAAGGCTGACCGAGGGGTGGGTCGGGCACGGGTCATGCGTTAAAACCACCCCTGGGGCATCACAGGTTGTGCCACCTAGGGTAGTGCCACCCAAGAAGCCCCAGGTCACACATGGGCGTGTGTGGTGGACTGAGCGCAGCCGGCGCCTGGCGCCTGCTCGCATACTTCTCGCAGTCCCGCGTCTCATTCGCACCTGCACATGAACCGGGACTGGTCCGTCCGACTGCCGCCGACGCCCACTAGTGTGGGGGTGGTCGTGCGCAACACAGCACGCCATTTCGAGGGAACTGTGTTATTTTTTCACGTCACCTTTTCACTTTATTTTTAGGGTTTGAATAATTTGTAATAAATGTACGAATAATTCCGAATAGTTCCCCACTGCTGAACGATATTCCCAGTGGCATGTAACTTTAGCGCGGCGAATTTAAATCTGTCATTACCAGCCCGCAATGCCAATCAGAAAACGGTGAGAATATGGAACCCCACTCTGTCAAAATGATCCAATTCGTTTGTGGCCTCTGAGCCCTGCCAGCCCTTCTCCAAGGTGACCCTTCGACGATCCTCCCTCCCTTATCAGGAAATGTCGCCTGACCCCGACCCATCCGCCCACCACGAGTCACTCGGGAGGGGGGGGGGGGGCAATACGCGGCCACCATAAAAACGGCAGCGTGTGGGAAGGAAATGTCAACGCCCTCCCAGTGGAAGGGAGGCACCGCCCCTGCTCTCTGTCGCACCGACTGCCTCTCCGCGCCGTCGTCCTCCTGCCCTGCTCTATGGTCCCGGCCCGGCTACGCCGCTGCCGCTGGCTGGTCCAGAGGACGCTGGCGCGGGTTATCTAACGGCGGCCGGCTCTCCTATCCGCCCGGCTCACAGTTGATGGCACCGCGAGGCACACAGCGCTCCGCTGGCTCCGACCCGCCCACTGACTCGCGCGGGCCCGGGTCCTCATTGTGTGCCTCCAGCGCGTCGCGCCGCGTGGCGGGGCACTGCAGAGAGAGGAGCGTCTCACAACATCGCCCGCGTACTCACTCTCTCTGACTATCCTCCTGCTGGCCCCGCTCACCGTAGACGGTGACAACGACGACGACGGTGGTGGCGAGAGCGACGCGGCGGACCGTGGCGCAAGACTGAGATGGAAATGGTGGTTGGGGGGGGGGGGGCAAGGAGTGTAAGGATCGGTATCCCTCGGTCGGCGTCGGCGTTCATCGGGGAGAAGCGGCGCCCGTTGCACTGCTACGCCCCGCCACGACCTGCCACGTCCTGCCACGTCCTGCCACGTCCTGCCACGCCCCCGCTGCCACTCACAAGCTCTGCAGTGTGGTATTTTGTGCGGACGTTACCAATCGCCGGCCGGAGAGTGTCTAACTCGTCGGAATGTGGCAAACGATCTTTCCGCTTCTTCAACTCAAACAGAATGCAAAGACTTCCGCGTTCCTTAGATATTGCGCGCTGCGCTCGGGTTGCTTCTTTTACGGCCGCCCCTCCCCGCTGCACCCACCGCAGCCCCCGCGGCAGTGCCCCGCCCTGGTGGACGCGATGGCTATCCTGAGCCGCAACTGCATGGGCGGGGCCAGGGCAACTAGACTAGGAGCATCGCGTGTCAACGCTCCACAGGGAGGGACGCCACCGGAAAGAAAGGACACCCACTGGACCCCCTCGCCGCCCCCACCCAGGCGGCCCCCATCACCGCCGCCGCCGAGCGCCGACACTCCGATCCTCCTCCTCGCCTCTTTTTATCAGCGCTCCGCGGCCCTGCTCGCGGCCCAGCCTCGGCTCGGGCCCAACTCTATCGGAGCGTCACGACGCCTGTGCCGCGTACCGCCGCCGCCGCGCCGTGAGACCTCCGCCGCTCCCCGCGGGGCCCCTCTGCCCCATTGTCTTGGCGGATTTAACGCGCTGGAGCGAGCCAGGACGCAGCAGGACAGTGAAAGGGAAGAGGAGGGGCGGCGGGCGGGGAGAGGCCCCCCTCCGCGCCGCCCGCTGTGGGGCGGCGCTCTGGGGCGGCGCTCCGCTCTGCTGGCGGTGCAGTCCGTCGCGGGCCGTGTCAGGTGCAACACCTGTCTCGCAGCGCCGCGGTGCACCCCATCCCACCCGTCGTCCTGCTCCCCTTTTCCGGTGTCGCTCAACGAGTTTCGCGTTCTCCTCGACGACCCTGCGGTGCGTCCCGGACGAGGACGCCGCCGAGGAGTGCGCCGCCCCCGCCACTCTGGATCACGCCGTGAAGCCGTCCGTGCAGCAGCGGCGCCTGGCGGGGGCCGTCTCCGTCGTGGACATACCGCACCCCCAGCGGCAGAGCGGTGGACCGCCCGTGCCGGCGCCGCGCGCCACCCTGGCGGCCCGCGCAGCTTGCGCCCCGGGCAAGGCCGCCGCCCCCAGCACGCCGCCGCCGACGCGCCCCGTGCCAGCCCCGAGGAGCCGCACCGTGGACGACCTCGTGGCCGTCGAGGCCAGGCCCATGCCCAAGCCGCGCACCAGGACGCCGTCAGAGCAC